TGCTGTTTGGTGAGAAGGGGTAAGGCAAGCGAGGAAAACAGGCTGGAGCCAGTGCTGAAGGGAGTCTGGTGTTAAGTATGTGGAGCGTGAGATGCCTACTGAGCTTACAGTGGAGCTGTTGAAAGACTTCAAGGGCGGCGTGTGGGTGAGACACACCCTTGGGAGCTGGGGTCCATCAGAAATGTGCTCACACTCTTTCTAGCGCTCTGTCAGGAGGAAGACTCTCCCCTCCCACTCTTTGAATCTGGGCTGGCTAGGGCTGGTTTGGGCCAGGAGAACGCAGCAGGAATGATGGTGTCTTTGGACCTCCAGCTCCAGAGCCCTTGAGTGCTCTGGGAGTCCTGTGACCCCAAATGAGACATGGGGCCCAGCTACCCTGTCACCCCAGTGAACAGCCCTCCAAGCCCAGAAGACCTGAGTGAGACAGTCACAGACCCATGACTGTCAGCTGCAGGCCTACAACTAGCAGCCACATTGTCGGAGAAACTATTTCAAGCAGCTAAGTTTTGAGCCTTAGTCATGGAGCCAAAACTAGTGGATGCAGAAGCTATCAGCTTATAGATAGCGTTTTCCTACATAAGGATATTTTTATCCTTTTCTTTCTCAAGTGAGATCGTAACACTGTTCTTTAACCTGCTTTTTCCATCCAAGGATGCATCTAGCAACATCTTCTCACCGGGTGCAGCTCAGCCTGTCCTTGTTGGTGACAACTGGATGAAGTTCCCATCATTGTCTCGACCAGTGTGACTGAGGGGTCTCTAATGTCTGCTGCCATAGTCCTAAGTGACTGCTCTTTCATACGGTTTCTGCATAAATGTTGCAAATAAAACTACTGGGTCAAAGAAACCTGTTTTGGGGATAGTAATAGCCGCTGAGTTAGCTTCCTAAATGATTTACTAACTTCTACTTCCTTACTGATGAGTGTGACTATTTCACCAACCCCATGCTGCCCCTTCTCAGCACCTTTAAATGTTTGCCAGTCTGAAAGGTAAGAAAATGTATCTCATTGCTGTTTTATTTGCATCGGACCTCAGTGGCCCTCTTTGGCTCGATCCTCTTAGGCTGGGCATTTACCCCTGAGGGGTGAGCGACACTGGATGTTTCCTTGGGAAATGGTTTCTTCTCTTCTGTCTCTATTAAAGTTCTGTCACACTAAGAAAATGCGTTGTCTTTATGTAGCGCATGGCAGAACCCACTTAGAGCAGGTTTGGGGGGCTCCAGGGGCCCCTCAGTTTGCACACTAAGAACATATTAGTAGCCATTTGGGTCTGTCCTGTGAATCTCTTATTTCTGCTCTTTGGCCTGTAGCTTTAAAAAAAATGAACTGTAAAAAGGTTAATGGATATTAGAGAAAGATTTCTGTATTTCTAAATACCTCCTAGACATTGACATTTTAGTTTGAGTTCTAGAGGCATTTAAAAGGCACAAATAATAATTTCCTAAGTTCATAAAGCATCTTCCCAGCATCGTACATGTAGCCTGCATTACCTAGCATCACCCCCACCTGTTTTTGAGGCACGTGGTGTTACCCCCATTGAATGGACAGAGAACACAGGATTGGCTGTAGGTGAGGGAGCATGGGAGGCCGGAAAGGGGCATAAACACCCCTGGGTATTGTACCTGGCCCACTGCTCTAGGGCAGCTATAACTTTCCTCCTCTTGGGCCAATTTTTCAAATCTTTAAATAGGAGAAAACTGGTAGCAGCAGTGCAAATAATCCTTGCCCACAGAAATCAAATGATCTGGCTCGAGGAGATGCAGTTGATTATTTCCCCATGGCAACTGAACTTCCTTGTCTAGAGTTTAATTCAGACACCTTCCTCCTTGCCTAGACATGTGTCCGTTGTTTGAATTCTCCTTGGAATGGCCGGATGTCTTCCTGGTTCCCTTACTAATTAGTGAGTGAAATAAAACCTGGGCACTACATGTCCCAGTTGCATGATATTTTTTTCCTTCAAAAATTATCCTTTGGCCTCTCCCAAATCTCGAGTCTGCACAGCTAGACCAGGAACTTGTCAGGATCTGGCACAGGAACGTCTGTCAAAGACGAGGAAAAATAAACCGACACTATTTTGCGGTGCGTGGGTGGCTGGCCCTCCTGAAGGAGGAACGGTGTAAGAGATCCCGGGTAGTCTGGAGCAGTTCAGCTGTTCAGGATCAGGAGCAGAAAGATGTAGAAGGGAGAGCTGGGAAAATGCTTTTTTCTTAACATTTGTTGAGTTCTTACCATGCGTCCACATGCATCAGCTCATTTAAGTGTCACCGAAACTCAGAGAGCTGTGAAGCCATTGCTTTGCAGGGAACAGGCACACAGAGAGGTCATGTCACTCGTCCAAGGTCACAGAGCTGGTTAAAGGTCTACAGTGATTCCTTTGCCCCACAGTTAAAAGGTACAGGGAATAAAACACTTCAGGGGAAACTAATAAATGCTTAAGGAGGTGTCATCCTCTCCTAACCCCATCAGCTTTCACGTCCATGCTGAGGTTGAGACATTCTGGTGGCCTAGACTGCGATGGATCAGCAAATCCTGTTTCTAGAAGGTTCTGGGGCAAGGAGGGTTCGTGACTGGGGCAGAGGTGGGACTGTGATGGTCAGCTTGGCTGGACCATGGGGTGGCCAGATATTTGGTTAACACTATTCTGGGTGCACCGTGAGGCTGCTTCTGGGTGGATTACCATTGAGTGGGTGGACTGAGCGAAGCAGGCTGCCCTTCCCAGCGTGGGAAGCCTCACCGGTCTTTGGGAGGAAGGGGAGGCTCCCCTGTCTCTGCCTGCCTGTGTTTCAGCCGGGGCAGGCTCCTCCTACCTCAGGTTTCGGGCTCCCACCCAGGCCGTCGGTCCTCCTGGTTCTTGTCTGCTGACTGCAAGTCCTCGCACTTCTGGCCTTGACCGCGCCTGCCTTTGGTTCTGTTTCTCGGGGACCTTGATTATATAGGGCCCAGAGCAGAGTGAACTGGGCCTCTCCATTCCACCTGCAGGTCCGGGCATCTGCAGTCTCACCCGTGACCCTCTCGCCACGTTGCTGGGCCTGAGACGTGCGTGTCCTGCCTGCTGTCTGAGCTGGGCTCCCACGGCCCCTGGAGTGTTGAATGCTTGGGCTTTTCCTCCAGGGAGGACCTGGAAGGTAGAGTGAGGAGGTGAAGCCTTCACAACTGGGGTGAAGGCCTGTGGCAGAGATGCAGAGTGAACCCCAGTGTGACTGAATGAGGTGTTGAGTGATTGGGGGGGTCACACTCCCTGTCAGGCCAACTGGGATACGCGGTGGTAACCAGGAGCCTGAGGACGGCAGAGTTTGGGGAGTGAAGAGACCTGAAGAGACCAACCTGGCATTGGTACTCACACTCCCAGGCCCGCTTGGACCTGGCAAACTGCCCTGTAGGAAGGATCTCAAATGTGACCAAGGAGTCTGTAACGTGAAGGTTACTAGAATCCATTTCCTGCCAACAGCGTAGAAGGTGAATCCAGAAAGGGGAGCTGAGGACCCTGAAATGGTCACCCGCCACCCAAGTCCTGAGGGGGTGCCCCACCTCTGTCACTAGCGGCTTCTTGGCTCCTCAGCCCCAGGCCACCTTCTTTCATCTAGAGTCTGCCAGAGATTAAATGTCTTGGTGACATTACTGAACTCAGAGTGAGTTGGCTCCTTTAAGGGTGGAATGCGCATTCCCACCGGGGCTGTGGCCTGAGCAAAGCCAAGTCACTCCCCGTTTACAGCTGAGGTGCAGGGAGGCCAGCCCAGGAGGAGTCAGAGCAGATGAAGGGTGTAACCCTGTCCACCCCGACCCAGGCCAGCCGGCTCCTGGTCTGACTCCTGGGCGGCCAGGGACTCAGGCCCAGAATGTTCTGGGACTGGGGCAGGTGCCTAGAACTTCTGACTGGTATGTGGAGCTGGCTGACTGTCACCTTCCTGCCACCCCTGGAAGCCAAGCTGTGACCAGCCCACCTGGGAGCAGGGTGCCTGGGCCCAGTACCCAGCTGCTTTCCTGGTGGGAGTGGGAACAGCAACCCCCTTCACTATGGGACGGTCTTCACATGTGGCAAGGTGCTTGTCCTTCCTCACAGACCCACCCAGTCCTCTGTGAGGGGCCAGCTGCCTTCATTTTACAGCTGTGAAAGCCAAAGCTCAGACAGGACTCAAGATGTGTGCAATAAACAGCAAAGTCAAACGAAGCCTTAGGTGTTGGGGTGGAGGGAGTTGGCTTCCAGACCCACCTTGCACCAGCGCTGGGAAACAGACTCTGAAGAGCTTGTCTTACCTTCATTCAGGCCAGATCAACAACATTCCCCTTAACACCTGCTCCCCAGACCAGCAGAATAAGCACAGACAGTGACTTCTGGTTAAATTAAAAGCATTTATCCCCCTGTGTATTTTTCTCCGGCTGGAGGACTTCACATCAAAGCCACACAGACAGTGTTGGACGTAGTCACGTGCAAGGTCATTGAGCAAAGGTTCTGCTTGTAGGGGAAGGCCAGTGTTACCTCTTTGAGGAGCCTGGAATGCGTGAGCTGCTTCGAGCAGAGTGTTAGATGTGAGTCTGTGTCCAGTCCTGTTTAGGAGTGCTTGGCAGGCACCGAATAAACGTGGAATGAGTGACCGAGCAAACAACCTCTCTTTGGCCTTTGATATATCCTTATCACAATTCACCTCCCCAAGTGAGGGCCAGAAGGTCCTTGGGAGTCCTCTTGTCCTACTGCCTAGTGGCTCTCATGAGGTCCAGTGGGGCCGAGAGAGCTCAAGCGAGGGCGGGAGGCTGCCCAGCCAGTCAGAGGAGGCTCAGGGTGGCCTCGGGGCTCATCCCACGGCCTCTGCTGTCTGCCCAGGAGGTGTTAGCAGGAGAGCAGGGAGCGCTCTTACTATTTGCCTCGCTGCTGGGTCCCGAGGGCCCGAGGATGTGCAGAGAATGGCCTCCCGGGGATGTGGGCATCTTGGAGAATGAGTCCACTTCCTGCAAATTGCCTTTGCCTGAGAGGAGAGCGGCTTCTCGGGGAGAGGCTGTGCACCCCTTATGTTGAAGTGGCACAGATGCTGCCCCATCTGGGGTGTGCAGGAGCAAAGATGCAGAGCATGGGGGCGCAGGCCTGCTGGATGAGAGCGCCGGGAAGAGGCGCCATCTCCCACGGGTGGCACGGGAGGTGGGTGATCTGGGCAGGGAGCCAGGTGGAGGCCAGCTGAGCTTGGGCAGGTGGGTAACACTCCGTGGGAAGAGCCGACCTGGACAGCCCAGGGGGCCGCAGCAAGGGGCCCTGTCACGGGAGAGGTCGGAGAGAGAAGCGAGTCCCGAGCTTTACCTGGGGCTGGACGGCAGCTGTCTGGGCTAGTCCCCAGACTTGGGTGTCTCAGCTTGGGGAGACATGCACTCCCTGGGGCCAGCCCTGATTGGGCACTTGTGGCCATTGTTTGACGTGGACAAGCTGCTTTTTGCTCAGAGCCCAGTCTCTGCATTCACTCAAAGGGACAAATAAAACAACCTTCCTTGCAGCGTCATCTCCGCCCACGCAATTGTCCGGACCTTCCTCCCAGCACCCTGCACCTGCTCAAATAACGTGGACTCGGTGGACAAAGCGTACTGAGGGAGCACCCGCCGGGCCAAGACTCCCAGCCACGTGCCCTCATCAGGACGCTATCGCTGTCCTGGGAGGAGCAGAGATTCTTCCAGACCACACTGCTGCTAAGTGCAGACCTGGGATTCCCACCTGGGCAGCCTGACTCAGGAGCCCACCTGCTCCCCTCCATGACCCTCTTCTGTGGGCTCTGCAGTTTTGTGCAAGTGCGGTGACTGTCATTCCGGGATGAGGACATGGGACAGAGAGCAGCAGGGACTTGTGCCCGGTCCCACAGGCTTCCAGGGTCCTTGCCACGTCCTCTGGAACAACCCCCCAACCTCCCTTGCCTGGGCCCTTCCTCACATGCGGGTCTGGATGGGAGGGGCCCATAGCAGCTCCCCCCAACCCTGCTGTCTCAGCCACTCACGGTCAGCTCTGTGGCAGGGGCCAGGTCGGCCTCGTTCAGCTGCTGCGAGGCCCCGAGGCTGCCGGTCTTCTCCTGCTTCCGCCACTTGGCCCGCTGATTCTGGAACCAGATCTGGGAGGAGGGAGAGAGGGATGGAGGTAAGCCAGAGGGTTTCCTCCATCTAGAACCTCCAGGGACCAGCACTTTGCTAGAACTTCCGTGACTCTGGCCAGCACTGGACATCAAGACTTTCAGTGTCAGGACAGACAGGGAGGGGCTCAAGCAAGAGTGGAATATTTGCGCCAGGTAGTTGGGAGTGGTGGGGTCTGTGGAGAAGCAGGTTTCTGGCTTCAGGGACAGTCACCATGTGGGAATGTGAGCCCATGTCACAGGTATGTACAACTCCCAAGGCAGAAACCTTGCCTTTCACGTGAAAGCTTGTTTTAAATACTGCACAGATCCAGTAATGCTCCTTTATCTGGAGCTGATTCCCCATGGAAAAAAAAGGGAGGACAAATCCAGGACAGGGTCAGCCCATTGGGATAAGACTGGGGTGTCAGCCAGCACAGTTTGAATTTGCATGAATCCATCACATTTCTTAAAAAAGAAAAGAATGACCTAGGAAACGGTTTTGGAGAAAACGTCAACCACATAGTGTTGCGATTTGCTAGACTGGGATCTGCAGGACACACCCTGGTGAGTGACCGGGGCTGGAGGGGGCCCCAGGAGCAAGAGCAGGTAGATCAGGCAGCTGGTGCGTGCACAGGCCTCCCTCATGGGGGACCCAGGGTCCTTTCCACCCCCCACGCTGTCTCCAAAGCGATCCCCAGGCCGGCAAACCAGGGACAACAGGCTACATCGGACTTTCCACTTGTGTTTATGTGACCCAGGAGCGAAGGGTGGTTTTCATCATCTTAAAGGGTTGGGGGGAAAAGCTCAAAGGAATAATATTTTCTGAGATATGCTACTGCTGCAAAAGTCGGATTTCAGCATTCACCCGGGCCTTACTGGGACAGTGCCGTGCGTGTCCACCTAGGGCCCACAGCCGCCTTCGAGCCTCAGCAGCAGAGCTGAACTGTGGGTGACCGCAAGGCTCCATGAAGTCTCAGAGTTTCCAGTGGCCCTTCACAGAGACCACTTGCTGTCATGTGAATGCCACCCTGGAGAAGTCACCAAGGGGAGAGATGGACATGGAGGCTGGCACCGAAGGCCACTGCCCTTGACCACCTCAGCTCCTCCTCCCAGCAGAGGAAGTCTCTTGTCACTATGGTGACCTGGCAAATGCCCCGTACCTGTGGGATGAGCCCGTGGAGGGTTTCAGCTGGTGCTAGGGCTTGGGATCCCCGGGGTCTCACCCACAGCCTGGGCCTTGAGCGGGGGTGGGGGCGGCCGTACCTGCACCCGGGCCTCGGGGAGGTTGATCCTGGCTGCCAGCTGGGTGCGGATGTGCACGTCCGGGTAGTGGGTGAAGTGGAAGATCTTCTCCAGCTCCTGCAGCTGCTCGGCCGTGAAGGTGGTGCGTACCCTCCGCTTGCCCTTCCTCTCCTCTGCACAGAAGCGGGTCTGAGCTGTGTCGGTGACTGGGGCTTGGCACCTCAGTGAGGCTCAGGGTGCCTTGCTCCCACCTTTGAGCTATCAAGTCTGGGGACATGTGACTCCTTATTCTCTTTCCTAGAAATGCTGCCTCTAGGCTGAACCTCTCCCAGCCCCTCCCCCACCCCCAGTGAGACCAAGACGACCTTCTAGAAAGTCCTCCAATTGTCCTTTCAGTGCTTAGATGCCTTCAACACCCCTACACCCACCCTGAGCTCCACCACCCTTGTCTACAAGAGGAGCCGCCAAACTGCACTCTATGGCCCTTATCTGTTTTTATAAATAAAGTTTTATTGGCACACAGGCACACCCACTGGTTTTGTGTGTCTGTGGCTGCGTTTGCACTGTAACAACAGAGTCAAGTCGTTGCAGCAGAGACCACTGGCCTGCAAAGCCTAAAAGAATTGCCATGCTGTCTTGCAGAAACAGTTTGCTCACCTTGATCTACAAGACTGGAGTTGACAGCAGTCTGTCTTTACAACCTGTCTCCAGCCCATCTGTGCACCCTCACACCCAGGGCCCACTAACGTGAAAACGCAGCCCTCTTGTTTAACCAGGGTGTTTCCCTTTCTTCTTCAGCTTCCTTGGACCTGTCAGAAGTTTATTTACTTGCTATTGGAGATTGTCTGGCGCAGGGACACTCGCAGGTGGGCGTGGGCCTGCACAGGGGCCCAGAGCCACCTTCTCCGGAGCCCAGGTACATGCGCTGAGCGACACTCTTCTTGGCCCTGCAGTACCCCAGCCCCACCGGATGGGGCGCGGTTCTGCCTCCGGTCTGCGATTCTGACTTATGTGACTTACTGGTTCTCCATAATCTAAGTCCACTCTGAGCGCCTCCAGCCACGCTTTCCTACTCTTTTTAGCTCCGGGTGCTCTTTCTGGTCCCTGAGCGCCTTCTTTCTGCTTGTCAACAACATCCCATTCCTCTTCCTACTCACTGAACGTGCACTCGGTGCCTGGCACAGGACAGGGTCAAGGAGACAAGGTCCCTGTCTGGAAGTGTCTCATCTTCGGGTGATGTGGCGCACGGCCAGGCTTGTGTGTGGTGTCTGTGCTCTCATAGAGGTGACACCTATGGATGTAGCTGCCAGCACCAGCCTCTCTCTGGGGCCAGGACCCCCTCTTTGGACACTGTGCTGTCCCGTCCACAGCCCAACAGGGTAGTTATAGGGGCTTGGGTGGGGGTGGGAGTGCATCTGACCTCTACTGGACCTGTTGGCTCAGCCCTAGAATTTTTTCATCTGGAACAAGGAAGGAGAATCTGTAGTGGCGGCAGACCTGGGACAGGAGTCTTGGGCCATCTGTTCTTCATGCTGGTGAAGTTGTTTGCAGTAAGAAGGAGGAACCGATCTTGGGATATAATTTGGAGGGAAGCTTCCAGGGCATGGTGGTGGATTAACTCTTGGGTTATACCTAGAATAGTCAAGGCTAGGGCCACAGTTTTGGCTTCAGCAATAGGTTGGGTGGTGGAGCTATTTAATGTGACGAGAATAACAGGGAGGGAAAAGGTGTGTGTGTACGAATGTGTGTTGGGGTGCATGTGTGTGCGTGATGTGTGTGTGATGGGGATCAGGCATTCTCTTTGGACTGTTACATTGACTGGGAGATTAGGGAAACATGAGGGAGGGAAGACAGGCCAAGCCCAACCTGGCTGCTGGCATGGGCGGCTGGCGCCTGTCTAGTGGAGAGGATGGAGCCGAGAGCTATGGGTGGTGACTCAGAGCAGAGTGGACTTGCCTGAGTGTGCAGGGCAGGCGAGAAGGGAGAGAGCACAGCCTCAGGATGAAGGGCTGCACTTCAGTGTGCCCACCGCGGGCAGGAGGAGTGGTGCCAGGATCGTGGTGAGAGAGCCTGGGAAGGCTGGCTTGGGCTCCAGACCACAGTGAGTGAGAAGAATGACAGACGTGGAACATGGAGCAGAGAGGGTAGATCACAGATCTCTGGAGGGAAAAGTCTGGAGCCAGGAAGGACTTCTTTAAACAAGGAGCTGAAGTTGCATACTCACGGAGAGCAGCCCCATGTATGGGATGGGAGTCAACTGTCGGAAGGGCTGGGGTGTTCCGGGCTTCCGCTCAGAAAGACCCATGTGGCCCATTTTTGGAGCTGGGCAGGAGTAATGGATTGAGGTAAAAGAAAGTCCCTGTGTTCCTGCCAGGCCCAGCCATCTCCTGACCAGACTCTCCACTGTAAGCTGAGAGGGAGGAGTGGTCACGGCACAGCCCACACACCTTGCTGGCCCAGGGCAGCAGGAGCGGGCAGGCAGGGATGGGGGAAGAGGGCGGAGGAAGGCGGTGGGAACTGCAGTCCCTTTCAAGTCATTCCTCTCCCCATTCTTAATGGTGCGAGCTGCGAACCACACTTCAGTGCATCTTCAAAGGGAACGAGTCAGCAGAACTTAATTAAACCTGAGCCGTTTAGCACATCGATCATAAGAAATACACAATTTACACAGGTGATTAGGCCACCTAATTATAAACCGATGTTTCTCTGCACTCGGCCCCCTCCCCTCATTGCTCCTTCTCTGCCTTCTGCTAATTGGCCCTTGCTGCTCAGCCTACGGCCCCCAGGGTGGGGACTGCTGGCACTGGGGCTCGTCTCTGAAAACGGGTTTTGTTCTGAAAGTAGGGGCTTAGCAAGCAGGAACTCTAGCTCCAGGATAGAACTGGCCCTCTGCACGTTACTATAAATAAAGTTTTATTGGAACATAAGCACCCCATTCATTACACTGTCTACTTTTCAGCTGTGATGGCAGAACTAAGTCAATGCGAGAGGACTTTTGACATCACTGCCTAAAAAGAACCACGTGACCCTTTGCAGGGAAACTTTGCTGACCACTGCCAGTGGATAGCCCCCTGTGGGCAAAACTCAGCAGTGTCCCAGTGTGGTGGCCCCAGGCCCCTCACCTTTGCTGACCACTCGCCTTCCAGGTGGGTGGGCACTGTGGTTCTATTCACCCTCACTCCCTGCTCATCAGTCAGCCTGGTCCAGGGTTTGCAGTCAGCAGTCACTCAGGAGTGACTGGATGACTCATGAGCAGACGGTGAAGGTATCTGGGTTCCCCACAGCCCCCTACCCACGAGGGTGGCTCCTCCCCTGCATCTCCCTGTTCCTTCCAGGCATCGAACCTCCCGGCAGAGTATTCATGGGGCCCCCCAGACTGATGGTTCTCTTCCCACTGTCTGAACCTCTCAGACAACATGGTCTCTTTCTGATGAAGTGTCTCTGACTTTGGAGGGTCCCCCGACTTCGAGGGCATCTGGGCTCAGCATCCATTCAAATAGGGAGGCCCTCTGGGATTTTTTCCATTGGCTTGAGATCTGAGAGGCCCAAAGTCTTAGACTGTGGGGTCCCTGAGAGAGTGGGGGGTGGGGAAGGAACACTGGTCTTTGCACTGAGAGACCAGGGAGACAGATCACGGGCCTGGGGCCTGGAGAATGGCCTGGCCCCAGCTCTTGCACACGTGGGCTCTAGCTCAGAACAAGCCACTTTGCCTCCCTGGGCCTCAGCTCCTCCAAGAGTGGCCCTTGGATCGCCATATCAGGGTGCACTGAGGACAGACGTGGGCGAGCTTGCTAGAATGCAGATTCCCAGGACCCAGCCTGCAGTCAGAGTTTTGGGGACTGGGCCTGGACGGAGCAATTCACAAGCTCCTTAGGTGCTAGGGAGATGCTTGCCAGTCATGTCCCTTATTACCCCTCCACGAAGCCCTTTAAGTGCTAAATGGAGACACCAAGGAATTTCCCTCTGTTATTATTGGGGCAGGGACCCCCGAATGTGCCATTTCTCATCCTGCTGCTTTCCTTTCCCTGACGGCTCCTGCATGGAGGGAGGAGGGAGGCCGGGGGTGGGGAGTTGGGGGGGTGTGTGTGGGCACCTACTCCCACCTGCCTGGCATGCAGAGCCCCCTTGGCAGATGGGAGGCTTCTGCTGGGGAAACCCACTGAGGTTTTTAGGAGACAACTTGTTGTTGAATGGGTGATGTTGTTCAAGGTGGGACCTTGAGAATGTTCTAGCTCTGCTCTTTCATAGTACAGGTAGGGAAACTGAGGTCCAGAGAGGGGAATGGCTTGCCCGGTGGCCCCTGGGTGTTGGTGCCAGGTTGGGACTTCGGACCGGGCCACTTGAACCCTGCCTCCTGCTCTCCGTGGCCAGTGTGTCTCAGAGACGCCAGCTTTTTGCAATTTCTGCAAGTTACCTGTATAGTTTCTGGAGTCCCATCTGGATTATTATTTGCTTAACATTTTCCCAAACTGACATTTTTTTTTTTGGTTTTACGTAAATAAGGAAATATATTTTATAAGAAAGCCTCACATCAGGACTATAAATAGATAACTAGTCACAGGAGTCCTAAGTAGAAGACTTCATGTAGAAATAATTACAGAGCCATCGACATAAATAATCTTTGTCTGCATACCCTCAAAAGCATCTTGAAAACCACCAATGGACCCTTGCTAGGCCTCTGGAAGTGCTAAATTTTAGCAAAGTGGGAAATGTGTGGATTTCACCCAGGCCCAGAAATAATTTGGAGAGATGTTCTCAGGCTGCGGTGCTAGCGCTTAACTATTTTTGGGATTTTTGTAAGTGACCTGTTCTCTTCTGGGGTTCATTATCTGTAGGGGGGCTCACCCTGAGCAATTTGATGGGAAATGGCCATGAGTGTACCCAAGGGCCACTGCCCAGTACCACGCCTGCCATGCTGGCAGTACTTTCTGGGAGTCTGTTCTGGGTCTGGCAGGCCAGATGGATGATACCCGCCAGCATTTTAGGGGGGTGAAAATGGGGGGTTCCTGGTTGCAGTTGGCTTTTGTCAGGTTAGGGGAAAGGAAGGGAGAGCAGAGGTCAGATGTGAGTGTGAGAGACCAGTCCCCTCACTTCCTCTCTCTCTGACAGAGGGGACAGTCAACGGATACTACGTAACTGCAGCAGGAGAGACTCAGGTTAGAGCCCCAGAAGAACTGCCTCTGTGGGCTCAGCTTCAGGGAACCCACCAGCCCCTCATGGACATGTAGCCTTCCAGAGTTTTCTTTCTGCCTGAAACTGTCTATACCCCATCTGTTTGGCCTAGGAGATTCACCTTGGGGAGGAGGGGGGTTTGTGTCTGGGGGAAGTGATGTCATCTCCCAGGTCCCTCCCAGCACTTCCTGAGATTGAAAGACTGGAAAGGGTTGGGACTGGGAGTCTGGTGTGAGATATCCAGGTTCCCCTCCACGGGCCATTGGGACGTTTCAATTCCCTTTCCTCTTCCTCACTCCAAGCTCCCCCCAGGGGTGAAGCCAGAGTGGCAAGCGCTTTCCGCAAGGTCACATTGCTGAGACTGCAGTGATGATTTTCACTCCTCGCAGGGCGCCCGTGTCCACTGCAGTGCCTGAGATTGGACAGGGAGGCCGAGCTCTCTGTGCCTGTTGCTCTCTGAGAACACAGCCGTGGGCAGCTGGCCTGAGGGTAAGCAGGCCGGGCAGACTGGGCTGCTGGAAACAGGGCAGGCTGACGTCACTGACCAATTCTCTGAACTGAGCAGAGCTGGGGGGCCGGAGGTGGGGGGTGGGGTCTGGGTCTTGACTTGGGTCTTGTGCTTACAGGCTGTGTGACTTGGCGAACCTGTGCTCTCTTCCCAAGTTTCCTCACCTGTCAAGCACCTGACCGTCAGGCCTTTCTCTTGAAGTGGGAGAGGACGGTGCCACCCCATCGTGAACACTGGAGAAAATACCATTATGTGTGCTCATGGCTAGGGCCAGGCCTCAGGGCCTTGGACACTGTCACTGCCTGAGCCTGGGTCTGCCTCTGAAAAGCTGCGCTTTTGGCTGGACAGGAAGGCGATTCAGACCACCAGCCCCGTGCCCGCGGCCTCTGAATCCCCAGTCCTCTCTTCTGCCCCTGGGCGCAGCTCTCCCTCCTTGGAGCCCAGCTGGGCGTCGGAGACCCAGGGGTGGGAGAGAGTCGGAGACACTTACCCGGGGGCGGGTCCTGCGGGGCCTCCTGCGGCCCCATGGCTGCTGGTCCGGCGTCCTCTCCACCGGCCCCTTCTGGCCTGGCCTCGTCCCTGCGCTCCGTGGGCCTCTTTAAAATCTCCTCGATGGAGAAGGACAGACCCCGCTTCTTCGGGGCCTCACAGCACCCCGAACTCTTCCCCTCCATCCTCCTGTAAAGGGGCCCACCTAGGCACGCTCTGGGTGGCTCTCAGGACGGTCGGGGGCCTCGTGTGTGCCCAGGGTGATGCCGATGGAGGCTAGTGTACTCCCTCTCCCGGAAATCAAGAGGCCACGCCGCGGTGCAGGACGGTGGGCCTCATGTGGGGTTAGCCAAGCCCAGTTTCGGCTCCACAGGGACTTCCATGGGCTACGTTAAGACACCTTGGGATGAAGGAGGCAGGTGGCGCCAGTAGGGCTGGGTGGGCTGGGCCCTGCCCAGGGGCTCAGAGCCCTGGCTGGCCTGCCGTCCGGGTGCCCTGGTGTTGAGTTAGTGGCCGTCCTGCTGGGGAGGGTCCTCTCCGCGTGCTGCTTTCACGGTCCCTGGCTTTGGCCAGGGTCCCCGAGGTCACTGGTGTGGTGAACAGGCCGACAGCTGGAAGGAAGAGGGCGCCGGCCCCGAGGGGACCTTGAGGTGGCGTGTCCACCTTTGCCCTTTCTGTGGCTGTGGCCCTTTCCTGCTCCAGCGGGGCCTCTGGACAGCTGGACTGCCACCCTTGGCCCCTGGTGGCCAACTCAACCCTGGGCTGCGCCGGCGCTTGACAGCTGTTCCTAGAAACTGGACTTCTTACAGGTCCACCACGTCCAGACTCTGGAACAGGCCTCCTGTGCCTGCTGTCCGGCAGCAGGGGCTGAGCGAGGGCGCCCCTGGGTCACCACCAGGCCGTCTCTCTGTGGCGGGGCCGGATGGACGCTCTGTAGGCATCTCTGGTCTGCATTTCTTCTGTTTCCTTGCCCCAAACTCCCTCTGCTCAGTTTCTGGTCCAGGGCCTCCTCTCCTGTGGTCGGGTCCTTTCTACGTGTGTCCTGCTCACGCGCCCTTACCTGGCTCCGAGACAACGCTGAAGGGACTCTTTCTTTCTGTCAAGGAACCGTCTGCAGGGAGCTGGCAGGCATCAACCTGTTCTTGCCAGTTCTGCTCCCAATTACTATGTAACCAGGGAGCAGGAAGCAGTAAAACACTGATAAGAGAAGAAACTCTCCACCCTCCTTAAGGTAGGGGATGCAGGTGTTGGGGGAGGGGCAGAACGGAGCAGGGAGCTGAAGGATGGGTCTGGGGGCGTCCCAGGGAGGGCACCGTGTTGGGAAACTGGCCAGGCAGGGGCAGACAAGGAGAGGTGGGCGCAGGAGGACCGAGGAGTGTCCCCGGCTCAGTGAAATGTGCCTGCTCAGCAAGGAGAATGTATGGCGTGTATGAGCCGGAGTCCGGGCCAGGTGCACGCAGACAGGTGTCGGCCACAGGAGAGACTGCTCAGGTATGCTTTCCTGGAATGCCTGCACCACAGCAGAGCCTGTGGGGATGGGTATGGTGAATGGGGAAACCCGAGGCTCTAAGCAGGGGAGATGTGGCGGGTGTGAGTGTACGTGTTCTGGTTTAAGGACCCCATTGGGGGGCCCCCCGGCGTGCCATGCTGACCGCAGGGCCCAACCACAGCAAGGTGACAGATGCCTCCAGGGGCCCAGGAAACGTGAACCAGAACATAAGAATCCTGACCTCACAGAGGGGGAAATGCCACTTTGCAATGGGGAAGTCACAGGAAAGACCCCGTGTCCTGTTTTTGTAAGTGCCAGGCTCCCTGACTTAGTGGGGGTGTCTGCTTCAGGGGAGGGCGTCTGGTCTAAGGAACGGCGTCTGATCTGGCTAGGGTGGCCTGGGCTCTGTGTGGCAGCAAGCAGACCATCTTTGGGTGCCTCCTTGCTCATCCATGTTCAAGCGAATGTCGCTGGGCCTCTCTCCGGGATCTACGTGTTTTCCAAGCTGTGATCCTCCCATCACGAGCTCCAGGTTTTCCTGGGAAGAGGAAAAAGCCTCACAGGGAATTTTAGTGGGTCAGAAGAAGAAGAAGCAGTTAATACGGTTTCCGCTCGTCTCCCTTAACTCGATGTCAGGGGTGGGGAATACAGTCTCCTCCATGCGGGAGGAAGCTGGACAAGCTGGGTGGACACACAGTGAGATGCACCCTTCCGGTCAGGGGCTGGAGTCCCTCAGAAGCTGGGGCCTCACTGTGGGCTAATGGGGTTGTAGCACTGGGGACGGTCAACTGCCTGGCATTTCTGGGTCTTAGTGCATTGCACAGACTTGGGTAGAAGTTCCACTTGATCCTCCACCCGTGAACACTCGCTTGGTGTCCACTGAGTGTCAGGCAGGCTAAGCAGGGGGAATACACTGAGGAAGACCAACATGGCTCTGCCCTTTGGGCTCATTGATCAGAGAGGAGAGAGGAGATCTAGTGAGGCCAGAAGCTCAAATGCTTTCAAATGAGGGTAGGCAGTTGGAAGACAGTACAGACACTTGCGGTAGCAAAGACCTGGGCGATAGGTGGGAACAAACTCTATGACTTTGACAAACATCCTTGGAGTGCTCTCAGCCCTAGCTGCACGCTGATGTTACCGGACATTTGCAAGTGTGCACACCTGAGCCTAGAGACGGGGATAAAAGTGAGAGCTGCCTCCCCACACCCAGCCAGGCTGTGCCAGGCTCCCGGCCTGGTGTATCTGTGCACCTGCCTCCCGGAGAGAGCGTTAAAACCGGAAAAATCCACCAAGGGCTGTCTGTCCGCCTGAATCCGCAGTGAACCTGCCCTGCCGGCACTCTGGGATTAGTTCCCTTGAGGTCTTTCTGCCTCTAGAGACTCTGAGTCCATGGATTTGGGGTGGAGCCTGTCTGCAATAATTTAAATTTTTTTACAAGTGATTCTGACAGTCACAGTTATGAGTCCTCGCTCTAGATGACTACTGTTTTTTTTTTTTTTGTTTTTCCTTTAGCTTAAAAAGAAAAAAACTACTGCTGTTCAGTAAAAATAGGATGCACATATATTAGTTATCTACTCTTTGTAACACATGTCTTGAGATTTAATACTTCTCATGTCCATGATTTCCGAGGATTAGAAATCCAGGATTCTCTTGACTGGGTGGTTTGCACTCAGGGTCTCTTGTGAGGGTGTAGTGCAGCTATCTGTTGGAGTGCCATTACCAGAGGATAGGACTGTGACCAAGGACCTGTGGGTGGGTGGTTTGAGTTCCTCACTGTGTAAGCTGCTCCCAGAAGAGCAGTTTTCCCTGCAAAAGTGCCCCTGGAATGAGTGACAGGAGAGAGTAAGAGATCGAGGAAGACCAATGCAGAGCTCACAGCGTCTTGGGTGACCTCCTTAGAGCTGACTTCCGTTCTGACAGGTTTTGTGGTCACGTGGACCAACCCTGATGCAATGCGGGGAGGGGCCACACTAGGGTGTGGGTACCAGGAAGACTAGCTTTTGTGGGGGGGATCTTCTGGGGTGGCTGCTGCAATACCCAGGCAGGAGAGTCACTGGAAAGTTTTAAGCAGTCATATGAAAAAGAGGACAGCATAAAGTTGGTATTATTTTTAATAATACATTTTATTCACCAACCTACCCAACTGTTATCATTTCAATCCATGATCAATAAAAAAATATCTTAGAACTGTCTTGCAATTTGTTCGTATACTAAGTTTGGATCTGACATGGGTTTTACACTTACAGCTCACCTCAATTTGGACTCACCACATTTCAAGTGTCCGGTAGCCACGTTGCTTACTCCCCTGAATTCCACACATGTGGGCTTGTCTCAGTGGACCCCACGGACAGATTTTCCCACTTTGTAAAGGTCCATCCTCTCCTGCCCCACAGGTGAGAGGCTCACGGGCTTCCTTGGTATTCCAACGACACCATCTGTCAGCTTCCTCTTCTATAACTCGCAAGCATTGGCCTCTCAGGCTGATATTTTGTATGACGAAGCCCTTGGGTGTTCAGTACATTTATTCCACGCTATTGACCTTTTTATGCCAGTTGTGCAAAAATTTGTCAGGAACAATATAAGAATTGCAATAGCAGTGGCAGACTTTGGCTTTTGACTTGGTGGAGAGAAACTAATTATGTAGAGGGGAGCCAATTATGAGCTCAACTACAGGTGCTCAGTATTAATCCCAACCCACTGCAGGGATTTATGCAGGCTTGGCCCTCACAAGGGGTGAGAGCCAGCCCTGGGAGGACCCCCTTCCTGATGAATAGCACCTGACTTCAAGCACAGCCCATGGGGATGTGTGCTGTGGTGCCTGCTCTCTTTAACTGGTATTTTGTGACTTGAAAGGATTTTTGGGTGCTCTGAATGAATTGCCCTTTGCTGCAAGGAACAGAAAGTTGAAAGTCTTTTCTATGCAGATGACATGGTTTTATTGTTACAAACCAGGAATGGCCTCATTATTGTCAGAAAAAAATGGCTCAGAATGACGACTGCAACCCCCCAATTGTCATTTTTGGCAGATGTCCTCAACATGGAGTTGGCTTTTATTCAACAACCTGAGAATTGCATTGGCTTGTTCAGTCACTTAGGGCTCCATTTTTCTACTAAGCCATTTGGGGAACTCACCAGGAAGTGATATTTACTTAACACTAGGTGTCTATGGGTTCAGTATTAGGATATTTCTAAGGCCTTCTTGGGAGATTTATAAAATGTTCTTTGACAAAATTTTAAAGGTAAAATTATTATTATGTCCCTGAGGCATCCCAGACACATTCCCTGAGACATCCCAGACACAGTTCCTGAGACATCCCAGACACAGTTCCTGAGATAGCCCCAGACACAGTCACACATAACTTTATTCTTAGTGTGTGCACAGAACCAAAGGTGTTCTCTTAAGAACAGCTTCCCACAGGTGTTCTCACAGCACTGTCATAGTTGTTCTCAAGACCATTCCCTCAAAAATATTGACAGGTTTTCCCTCAGGTATTCTCACAGCTGTTCCTCCAGTGTTCCTACAGCCATTCCCTGAGACATCCCCAGACACAGTCCCTGAGGCATCCCAGACACATTTCCTGAGACATCCCAGACACAGTCCCTGAGGCATCCCAGACACAGTCCCTGAGGCATCCCAGACACAGTCCCTGAGACATCCCAGACACATTTCCTGAGACATCCCCAGATACAGTCCCT